GACCCTCAGTATTGGAGGGCAGGAACTTTCAGGTTGTCAGGTGACATGCTCAGGTCCGTGACGAGAGATCATGACAGGAACAATGGAAATCCCATCTAGAATGAAGTCCACAGCACAGCCAAGCTTTTTAGCTGAGGTTCACGTCACTACACGTAACTGCACATGACAATGTGGCCTCTTTTCCAGGCAAACAGTCAGAGCACTGCATTTTTATCTTGTAGAGGAGTCTACACAAAGCCGTCCCACAGCAGAGCAAACACAAACACCTCTTTTTTTTAACCTTGCAAGAATGCTTACTAAACCAGTCAGTCTGAGTCCAGTAGAGAACCCATCACTGCACTGTGCTCTTGAAGAGTTTGATTTTTAGAACTGCTTGACATCTGAAGTTAAAAACTGTGTCCTTGGAAAGAAACTGCAGTATATACCAGACGAAGGTGATCACAGTGTCTCTCACATGCACTACAATATACTCCAAAGCTAATTTCTTAGCTGTTGACTTTGGCAAGAGAAATTCTTGTTGTCAAGCTGAGTGAGGCAGTCCGTATCACCTGAACTTGGTGGCGATGAGAATGATGATCATGATGATAACGATGACAGCCAAGATCATAATCACCAGCATCTTACGGTTCTTCTTCTGGTACTTCTCGGCCTATCATTGGGAAATCAGAAAGATTAGTTACTTGAGATTTAGGTCTGTTTTGAGAACGCTGGGAGAATGGGCCAGTCTGTTGAGGCATCAGATAGGCACAGAAGTACTTTCCTTGCCGTCCAGCTCTGTGACCCAGGTTCAAATCCTTAGTCCTTACCTTATAGATATTTTTAAAGTATCACTTTCAGGTTTTCACTCCTGACTCCACTAACAAAACCTGTCTTGTCATCTTCCCTCTGTTTCCTCTTTCCCAGCTTAACGGAATTCTTAGTTTTTTTATTGTCCAAAAGAATCCAATGTACAATGCATAAAACATTCCATGCTCTCCATCTGTTGTGATAAGTGTATAAAGTAGGCTTGCTGTTTAGGTACTTTATGATTACAATCCTTGCAGTCATGTTGTATCTTACCTTCTGGAGTTGCTTCAATCCTTGCTCAACCTTGGTCGCAGTTTTTTCAATGTTGTAATCTATTCTATCTAATATTGTACCCTGGTCAAAAGGAGGACAAAAATTCAAAAGATGTATTGCACTACCAGCTCTTAGAAAAGCTACAAAGCACCATCTACTAATCTTGTAACAAGTGTGGGTTTCCTATTCTTGGCTTTGCTTACACCTTGGATGAAAGGCTTCATTTTTGTGCGTGAATTGAGTGCCCCAAGTTGTGATCTTTAAGCTCAACACAGATTCCTTTCTGTGACAAACACATCTATTTGTCTACCATGTACCAATTTGGGAAAAATTTTCCCTTGGTTCAAGTTGTAAATGTCTGAAGTTGATTATGGAACTTCAGATGAAGCTATGAGAGATAAAGCCAAGATCTGCAGAAGATTTCACCAACTTTACGCAATGTCGTAACTTTTACGCCACGTTTTATTGTGTAAGTTTCACAATAAATTGAGAGCGATTTCATAAAATTTACACACTGCATAAGTCTGCAACTGACACAACAAATTATGATGTAACTTATGCAGTCATTTTAGGTGACGTAAGCTGTGCCAAACAAAGTGAAAATGAAAGATTTGACTAGCTTATTGTGCTTGGTTAAGGCTCATTATTGCTGAACTTAACAAGGCTCATTCAAGAAATGTACAATTTTGTTGTAGAAGGTAATGAAAAACTTGATTGGCTGTGAGAGATCTGCAATTTTTTCTGTCCAGTTCTGGTGAAGAAAAGATGTTTTCAAAATGGCGGGTGGAGGTGATTCAATGACTGTTTGATGACTGTTGTTATATTGGAAAGGAACAGCCGTCATAAAAGCCAAAATGGCTTTGATGTCTTCGTCCAAGAAAGTTAATATTATTGAAATGTGGCACAGCTACGAAAAATGAAACGCAAGTATATTGCGCTGCTATGGTATAAATCTGTGGCACAAGACTTGCACATAGTTAGAAATTATGCCATGTTTTGTGAAATCAGCTGCTGGAAAAGAGGCCAAACAGTGTGCCCCTGAACATGTGCCAGCATGAGTCGCCTGGCTCACATCAACACGGTGCATCATGTAAGTGTGTGACACAGAGCTGCCACATTCAGATTAAAACATTCATAGAAAGAAATAAGTTTGTAAATACGGTAATTTTTGGAACATAAGCCGTGACTTATGCATTGATTCTCACGCCGAAAAAAGTCTCTGCGGCTTATATGCTGGGCGGCTTTTACAGCAAACTTTAAAGGATAAAAATCAGTCACAAAAGCCGCGGCTGGGCCACGCGTACCACATGCCAGTGGCGCAGTCATGAGTTTTGCAGGTTGCCGTTTACATCTGAAAAGTGGAACTTCGGAGAATAAAAAAAATTTGAGTTGTCCAAATTTGGAATTATTAACGTGGTTGGATCATCAGCACTGTGGTGCGGCTTATACGCCGGTGCAGCTATTACGCCGACTTTAAATCTTAATTTGCCAATTTTCGCAGGCTTACACACCGGGCAGTTTATATTCCGAAAATTACGGTAATGCTACTGACTAGCCACTAAGTTACTGATGCAACATCCCTCCCCAAATGACATCAATTTGGGTAGAAAGGCAATGGTATAATCTCACACATGTACTTGACTTACCTGTTCAACTACCATAGAAGCTAGATCTCTGAAGATCTCATTTAAATCTACTATAGACTGTACAATATGATTGATTTCCTTCTCTCTCTGTTGAACAAATGCTGCATTCTCTTCAACCATCTGCATCTGTGTGTCAGTAAAACCCTGCACGGGAATAAAGCATGCATACTCATTGATTTAAACATCTTTAGTTTCAAGACTAGGGCTACATTGAAATGAAAACAAATTTTCAAAGTATACTGGGAATGACACTCAATTGCGACATAACAATGACACCTTTCCTCATTAAGGCCTATTAGGCCATGTGCCAATTACATGGCTACGGCTTGAATCACACACAAGTCTATGACAGTTAGCTTTAGCTACTTCCTCATAGAGTCATATGTAGCTTCAAGCCACAACCAAGCAATTTAGACATGACCTATCTGTCAACTTCTGTGGGCTCTGTGCACATGTAACCCCTCGATGTTGACACAAAGAGAGGTTGGGCCGATACGTGACTGCCATTACTAACATGTACCCAACCTCCTCACTGAGACCTTGAAGATTAACACATGCAGATGTTGTGTAATCTGCATCATACTAGGAGGCACCATGCTCAGTGTATGCCATGTGCCAGACGTATAAACGAATCCTAAAAATGGCAGAAAGTATTATGTTGGGTTTTGTACATATCAACTGTCACAGAACAGAAGCCCCGTACAATAGTCATTGCACTGCTCATTTTTACTGATGTAAGCCACTGCAAATGACCAATGATAGTGTTACCATGGTCTACAGAATGGCACTCTCCAGTAATAAAGCGCCCTCACTTGTTTGGCCACAGAGTCCATTAAGCAGTACTTGACTTACCCTGTCATACAGCAAATCATCCTCCATGATATCCTCCTCTGTCATGATTGCACTACCAGGAGTAAGGTTGGTATCAAAGAAATGTTTGGATCTCTCCTCTCGACTCTTCATCCCTAAAGGAAATCAACAAAACAAGACGAGCGATGTAAAGCTCTCATACCATGACGTCATGAATTTGTTCAAAGTCAGTTAGAAATTTGCTGTGCCCTTTTTGTCGTTTGCATATACAAGAGGTTTGGAGAGGAGATTTGCATGGATCTTATGGGTAGTTAGGTTGGTGTAACAGTACTCTCCTCTGCTCCACCTCTGTGACCTGAGGTTCAAATCCCATCTAGGTCAGCATCTGGGATGGGTTTTCAGTCCTTACTTAATTCCATGGGTTTTCCATAAAATTTCTTTGGTTTTTGGTCCCACCGCTAAACCCAACATTGTCAATTGTCTCCTACCTCCAGGTTTCTTCAGGCTTGCAAGCTACAGTGTTCGGGGCACTTTTGAGAAAGCCTTGGTTTCATCACCAGTGATAAATAATAAAGGATAACTTACGTTTTAGATAATTTGACTGTGACTTTCTGAAGTTGATGGAGAGTTCTTGCAACCTGCCGGCTAGAGATCCCATGATGTTTTTAGTGACTTTCTGTTCTTGTGACGACGCTGAGCGACTCTTGCCTCCGATGGCTTGTATCGCTCGTTGACATCTATGAAACATCTGAGGAAAAAACAAGGATCAATTCTTAGGGAGCATCTTTGCAGATGGGACACGTTTTCTTGATAGTGACCGGGCTCCCTGTCAGTGATCTACACTTGATTCACTGCCAAGAAATGCTTGTTAGCAGATTTAATCCAAAGCACTGAACCACCAGTCTGGTTGCAACTTCATAGATCTGCTTAATGGTTAGCAGAAAATCATGCTGAAGATTATGCAGTGTTTCAAGGCATGAACGAGCTGATAGTTGCACGCACATGGAGACTGGCATTGTTAGGTCACTGATTTAAGCAATTCTTGATTATGCAGTGTTTCAAGGCATAAACGAGCTGATAGTTGCACGCACATGGAGAATGGCATTGTTAGGTCACTGATTGAAGCAATTCTTGATTATGCAGTGTTTCAAGGCATAAACGAGCTGATAGATGTACGCACATGGAGACTGGCATTGTTAGGTCACTGATTGAAGCAATTCTTTCCTCAACGGTTAAGCTTGCATAAGCTTACTGCTTAGTGGTCTTTGTGAAACAGATGGAGGCTATGTTGTGAAATCACCATGAAATTATTGTTTTGAGATTAAGTTATTGTTTGTGGAGACTACGGACGATTTGATCATTTAAGAACCATTATCATTTCTTTCATAATACTGTCACCATTAAGCCAATGTCATTCATGGACTATATGAATGACAATCCCCTTATGAGTGACAGTGTCGGTCACCTGCCAGACCAACTCATACAGGATAATAGTACACGCTTCTAGACTGGTTCCCCCCACCCCTCCCCAAAGTCTAGCAAAAACTGGCAGGGCCTGGAACCAGCCTGCCCTGATTGCTTGGCTAAACCCCTGCTTCTGGTATCGCCTGCAAGCTTTGTCAGGTTTATGTGCTGAGATCATTTTTCTTCCCAACCTGACACCATTTTTACCTGTGTGATTTCTTGAGTAGCAATTTCAATAGCATGCTCCTCTTCCATGCTGTCATCCAATGTTGGTCTGGTCAGATGCTTATCATGTAAGGCTGCTAATTCCTTCACTGTAAAACAGGAAAAATGAAAATTAAAAATACTATGATTACTAGACTAGGCACACCTGTGTGTTCCAGCAAGGAGCTCTTTGAATGGAAATTTCTGGTGCACAGCATCCTAGCATTTTTTTATAAGATGCCATTTTTTGTCAGGCAGATGTACATTTTTCCTTGAGGTTTTGCATTTCTCTAACATATTTTGTAATTACTGACTAGTATGGGTCAGATGAGCTGCAGGTACTGCATCAAACACTATCATACGATGTAACTGGACCATTCAGCTGATTCTAGCAAGCAAGGTGGTTACGTGAGAAGCATGCCCCACTTCTACCAATAATTTGCTTTCTTTCAACAGAAACCTGAGTCCAAGAGCATGTTTAGAAATGTTGACACCGGCACTGACATACCCACTGAATCTTCATGGTATGTGATGACGGTATGCTGGAATGGTATACATGTTACACTATTGAACATGGCCCTGTGTTTCAGAGTTGGACATTTTTTTCTTGATGCGCTCTTTACTTCCATGGTCTTAGCCTTGTAATTGATGACTGTACATTTTGCAGAGATGATTGGAAAGAAAGCTTGACATTTTTATATTTTCAATTTATTATGTTGAACAGTAATGATAGTATCAGAACTTTTAACTGATCTATTACTGCAGTAGCTTTATCTTAATGTGGTTACTCCTGACTGACAGGTTTCTAAACATTCCTGGAAGCCTTAAACATGACTAGAGATGTACATCCAACCTATGAGCTCTGTGGCATGATCTCAATTCCTCTTGTACTTACTCTTCTGTTGTATTCTTGTTGTATCGTAGGATATCTCTTCCACTGCATCAACCCTAAAACAGAGACAAAGTTACCGTGAAAATTGGTGGTTCATCATTGTTGTTGTTTATAGTAAGGTGTACATTAGCCTTGGTTGTTAAGTGCACTATCCAAAATAGCCTAGAGGTATATGGACATACAGAACTGTATAAAGAAGTTTGTTTTCAGACAAGTTGAATCTAATCACAGAATACTGGTATACCAAAGTGGTGACTTATGATCTTCCGGTGTGATCAACTCTTGGGCAATGTACACGTATGCATGCATTAAAAGATATTTTGGCATGAATGATGAACAAGTTTGTTAATCTCCGCGAATATCCCTTCAGGAGTGAAAATGTGAAATACTGCTATTAACGAAGAAACTTGCACATCAACTTTCATCCAAACCCCCTTCCATCAATGCCAACATGGACCCCATGTACCAACTGGGACCTACGCACGACCAACTTAAACCCAGCATTCCCTCCCCCCAAATGTTACATTACTCAGGATAGAACTGTGAAATACAAACATCCTTGCCTAATTCATAATGACCTTATGATGGGACTGAGTTGGCCATGGTTGGACCTGAGTGAGCGTGGATTCAACTTGGTCAGAGTTCAAAGTGGCATGGGTCCAAGTTGGCATGGGTCCAACTTGGCATGAATCCAAGTTGGTGTGGATCCAAGTTAATTTGGGTACCAATTCACTCAAAATGATTCTGCTATGTGTCATGTTTTTCAAAAGCATGTACACAGGCCAGTGAAGATCTAACATGTACTTCTACGCTGGTCCTTGACTTTTCTGTTCCAACTCTCGTATATACATATATGTACTCGTAATAGAGGGCCCAGGGAAATGCCATGTCCAAACCTTGTGTCTATGGCTAGCACTAGGTATCTGCCTGTTGGAAATGAGGCCCTGCACTGACAATAAACATAGCCCTAGCCCTGGAAGACTAACTCGGACATGAGAGGGCTCAGTCATTTTATAGCAAGGCTACACAGCATCCTTTGTTGTTCAGTCAGACTTCATTCCAAAACTGCACAAAAAATAACTCTCAGAAAGCCAGTTTTGGATAATTACCATTCTGGTGGGATGGAGATCTTGGTTGCACCTATGACGGCATCTGGATCATTAGAGACACCTGAGACTAAAGCCATCCGATCATCAGGAACCTGTGACGTTGATTTTAAAAACAGCAAGACTAATTACCTACGTGTATTACAGACAGCACTTACAACAATACACAAAGTACATTACAATGTAAGGTCCTGCAGTACAACACACACATGTCATTCTAAGTGCAATGTTTACGGTACGCACATATGGCAGTTTGTTAATTATTTATCAGAAATGCTACCTGAGTGAAGCGTTTGCTTGGCTTTGTTTAGCAGCTTCTGCAGGCTTTATTGATTAAAATAACATCATGAACAAGCAGAAAAATGCATAAATGGGAAATTCAGGGAGTAAGGTGGATAAGGGAATGGTGGCTCTAACATCAACCCACCTGTCCTGGCTGCCCTGAAGAAAGACACAAACAATTTAGGACAAGAGCTTTTTTGCTTACAAAAAGTGCAAAACTATCACTTTCCTTGTTATAGTGTGCATAAATCTTCAACACAGGAGATTGAATATTTGTATTTCTTTCCAAAATATCGTGTAGAATTGAAAACATGGCACCTTGGATAGTGCTCAAACTGATAATTCAGTTTCATGTATTTTGTTAATGGCTATCTATGTGTATTTTGCTGGCAATGACGTTGCTGTTGCTGTTTAAGAGACTTAAGTGTATTGTGGTTGTTTGATAGGATACAAGATATTATTAAGTGCAATCTTAAACCTTGCGCAAATTTATTGTACTCCATCCTGAAATGGATGTTATTCAAAGGCAAATCAACTCAGGATGCAGTAGGCCTATACAGTGGAACGCCGCTATAATGAACAAGATGGGGTCCACGCTAAATGTTCGGTACAGCGGTCGTTTGGTAGAGTGAATTTAACTGCCAAACGTTTCGTTGCCATGTTGAAAAATGCCCTCTCTTGTCTAACTGAAGTGCACCCTCTTGTGATACCTTGGCTCGCTGTTTTCGTGATGTTTTGACGTTGCATTCAAGTTTAAGGTTTCAAGAAATTACTTTTGTTTTTTATTTAAACTCAAGTCAAAAAATTGACTACCGCTCAGAATCGATCTCTGATGCATGCTGTGGCGAATCTCGGTTGATTTGTGTATCAGTGGCACCCTCTTTAGACTATTGTTAGTGCAATGCCACGGTGCACATACGTGCGGTTTTCTTCCGCACCTGATCATGTGGAGTCGCAAAACCAGTGTATATTCAATACCGTTGACAACTAGGGGCTTTCCCTTCTAATCCTTGGGCAAATAATGGCCACTTGTCACTTTCCAACATAAAAAACCCGACTGTTTTATCATGTTGACGTTTGGGAATTACAAACAGCAAATGAATAGTGTTCGGTAGGTTCTGTGCACAAATTATTGGGAGCCAAGGACGATGTTCGGTACAGCTGAATGTTCGGTATAGCGGTATTCGTTATAGCGGCGTTCCACTGTAATACATTTGCGCAAGGTTCAAGACTGCGCTTAACAGCATCACTGCTACAGAGGTCTTGTCACGCTCTCACCCATTTTTTCTCCTTAAAGTAGACTATACATCAGAGATACTTTGACAAACAAAAGCATGCTTGAAACTAGGGTGTCAAGAAGAAAAGTAAACAAAAATAAAAATGTGCTAGTTTGTAGTAAGGCCATGAGAATGAAAGTTTTAGATTTGTGTCCGGAACATTTTGGAAAAGCATGAGGGTTTTTTTCATCATTCATTATTTATTTTTAGCAAGATGGTATGCATAGTAGCCATGTGCGATGTATACCCAAAGCAGTGCGTATGCATGTATTAGAGAATTCAATTATTTGTGTAT